CCTGGGCCCCGGGGTGTGCGGTGGCCGGGGGTGAGGGCTCGAGTGCCTCTCGGTAGGCCTGTGCCGCACGTGGAGCCTGTGAGAGGCGGTTCTGCGCTGAGAGGGAGGGCTGCTTCCCGCCGGGATAAGCTCTCCGCGGAGGCGGAAGGAGCCGTGCTCCGCGCCGAGCAGCAGGCAGTGGGCGGCGTGTGGGCCTTCAGCGCTTCGGGGACTAAGTGATGTAAACTTGTGGGTCCCGTTTAGCCGCGTGGTGAATGTGCAGACAGTAGCTGGATGAAGCTGTCTCTTCTTTCTCACCCTCCTGTCTTTGTTTTGGGTGGCAAGTTAATCTCTCAGATCAACTCTGATTCAGTCGGAGACAACACTTTTTTATGGGTAGGCTTTTCTGTCGGATGGAACTGTTGATTCAGTTCATTTTTCCTGTATGTGACCCCTGGCTGTGAGAAAGCATTGTGATGTAGAAGGAAGGGAAATAGGATTGCCCTTTTGATACCGTAAAGGATCATTTGTACTTAGTTGTGGCAGGCATTCTTTATTACAGCAATGGATGCATCAGGGATGGTTCCTTTTAGTTGTGGGTTATCCCAGGTGGTTTATCCCTCTTCGTCTAGTCCAAGCAAATTTTAATCACAAAGTTCAACAAGGCCTAAGGCTTCTTACCTATTTGTCCCTATTAATAACAGCTCAGGGTTTTCCTATCTTTTTGTGCATAGAAACTTTCGAAGTTGCTCAGTCGAGAATGAATTACGCACCAGAGAGCTACAATGGAGCGTTTGTTCAAGGCATCAGTTCTCAAGCAAGCATAAATTAAGCACTACTGAGATACAGTGAGGCTTTCCACCCTGAGCCTTTGTTCAAGGCATCATGTTCAACAGCACCTTGCTCTTAGATTATGCTAGGGTTAATGCTGGGCTTTCCCTTGAATTTCAGAAACATGAGCACAGCAGAAGTAGCTCAGCTAGTGAATGGGCTGGCAGCAGAATTCTGGACCCCAAGCCACAGAAACGTCAAGAAGCTGCATGTTAGTAACATACTGTTTGTTTTGCTCTACAGCACAGTGATGCGTGTGTGCTGGCTCGTGGGGAAGGAAAAATGCAGTCAGCGAGTGAAACTACCACACTTGGAAGCAGTGGTACTTGGGCGTGGCCCAGAGACTGGGATAACGGATAAGAAGTGTTCACGGCAGCAAGGTAAGATTTAGCTCAATTCTGACTTTCTGCATGCAAGAGCAGCCAAACTTGAAGAGTGTGAGATGCAATTACAGCACTCGTGTTCATCAGTAAACATTATTTGTCTGTTTGGCTAAATTACAGTGACGTTAATGACCAATGTTTCCTTGAAATTTAAGCAGGGTTTCTTTAGGCTTATTTCTGCAGTGACTGGCTCATGGTCTCCTTTCTCTGCATGGTCCATAGTGTTGCCTGATTTTTGAAGTTGTCGGGCTTTTCTTTTAAGTACTTACAGGGATCTCTGGGTCCTAAAAAAGTAGAAAGGATGCCTGATAACAGGAAGTTCATAGTCATAAGCCAAGGCATTGAACTGTGTCCCCAGACCCTCACTTGTGTTCCCTTACCAGCACTCTGGCTGAGTGGCAGTTCATCTCCCTAGTCTTAAACCAAATGATTTCTAGTATGAGTTATTATTTTGTAGGTGGATTGGAAGGATATATAAAGATATTTGTGATCCATAACGTGCTTCACATCTTCCCTGCCTTGTCTTTTTTGCATCTGAGCACAGTCCTGTTCTATGCCTTGTTCCAGAGGGCTGGTAAGACTAACAAGAGCAGGTAGAAGACTTCCACAGTTTTCACCTTTATTCTGAAGTAATTTTGCTGATCGATGGTGTGAAATACTGAGGTGTGTGGGTTGGTTCCATTTTGCCTGTGGTCCTGGAAACAGCATGAAGCGTAACTATTCTTTTTGTATGTTCACAGAGATCGTCTTAAAATACAGGAGTATTTTCTGCTAGGGATGGTCCATCAGAGTTCTGGCATTTTATTTACATTGTTTAGTGATTCTTTGGTTTTTTTTTCCAGTGCAGTTAAAGGCAGACTGTAACAAGGGATATGTCACCGTTAAGCAGGTAGGTTTTTGAATGGGTGCACAATACTTGTGATGCTTTCTGGCATGGTTATTGTACTTAAACTGAACAAACACTGGAAGTGATGATTGTGATCACTGGGTCTGGAGATCTTGAAGCTGTGTTATGGCAGCTTTTTTCTGTGTGTGTGTTGTTGGAAAGACTGCACTGTTCCTTCCATGTATGTTCTGGTCTCAGCCAGACTTGCAGGATCAGGGAGCACTGCCGTGAATCCTCAGCCTGTTCTTCCAGGCACTATGTTTGGGAGATTTTGGAGTGCTTCCCCTTAACAGGCCAATCTGCCTCCCGAGCCTTAAACTTCTAAAGCTGAAGCAGCCCTTCATTTAAGGTCATATTGATTCTTGTGTTAATGGGACTGAATAGTTGCAAAAGTTTTTGTTTTGATGGCTGATAGAGCCAAAGGTGAGGTCACCTCTGGGAAGGAATGGGATGTGAGAGACCACTGAAAGCGTTTTCACGTTACTAACTGAGTTGATGTAGGCCTACTCTCTTGTGGTTATGGAGGACCAGTAATCCCTGAGATAAAACAAAGGGAAAATTATCTGCCTTCAGGTGCTGGGATATGTATGTGCACCTGCAGCATCTGCATGTGTGGACAACACAAGGTGTTCTGCCTTTTGAGGAGTGGCGTCTTCCGTCAAAGTGCCTCCAGAGCTCAGAACGCACGTGGTCCCCGCCCATATCTGCTGGATCCAACAAAGATCTCCCAGGTGGTTTTTCACAGGAGTCAGATGTAGCCGCAGTTTGAATACTGTGCTGCTGGAATCTCAGGGCTGGGAATGCTCCGTGGCAGCGAGTGCTCTCATGTTTTTGCTTCCTGCTCTAGAGTTGCTTCCCCGGATGATTTGCGCGTGGTGAAAGTTTCCAGTGATCCCTTGTTTGACAGTGTGTTGGCCCGGTGGATGTGCAGCGTACTTGACTTGATTGACTGTGGGACTGTAGACTTAAAAGAACCTGGCTGGAATCAGGCGAGTGCTTCATTGCAGTGAATACCAAGTTTTCTTGTGAAACAGGCAGGTATCACAGTGGTGAAGCTAAAGAAACATTCTGTGTCAGAGCTTTTCAGTCAAGGGAAAAACTTTTTCTACAGCTTGTTTAATGCATAAACATTAACTAAAAGCATTTTGCTGAAGTTGGTGACCCCAGATTTCCCTAAGGCCACCCTCATGATCAGGCAAGATCTGCCTGCCATGTAGATTGGCCACACCACTTAGTGGTACCAGTTATGCCTAAGAATGAGGAAATGTATTCCTTTTTAATTACCAGCGACCTTCAAGTAATTTCTCAGTCCTTAAAACACTATTTTGAGGGGAAAATTACTTCATAGTTGCATAGAGCTTTGAGCTGATGCAACAAGAGAAGCATGTGAATATTTGACCTTGTCCTTATTTTCTGCTAGAACAGAATAAATAATAAAGTTGGTTTTGCGAAAATGTAAGATGCATAATGAAAATAAAAGCGTTAAAATCCAGGTGGGCTGGCATACGTTTTGCACAAGCTGAGGTGAACAAAGCGTTTTATCCTCTTGAAGGAACAGGAGAGTGTTGTTGCTGTCTTCTGTGGGCTGGGGAAGGGTTACCACGTTTGGCTTGGGAAAGAAAAAAGATAGGAGCAAGGAGCTGGTCCCTCCTGAGAAAGTGAGCTTTTCTGAGCAGTCAGAGAGACTTCTCCTGGTTATTTTTCTTTTTTTTCATCTGCACAGGAGGGGATGTGTGGCAAATGCTGTCAGTGTGCTGCACTTAGCGAGACAGCAGTTATGAATCTGAACTCCTTTTTTCTCTTGAAATGAGCCAGCAGAGTGTGTCTGTGTATTTGAAGGCAGATGTGTTGATGGGACAGCATTTAGTAGAAAGGGAAAACAAAATGTCGTAAAAAGGGGAAGAAAGAAAAAGTAAAGTAATTTGAAAAAACAAAATTCTTCATTGTGATTGGTCTGAAATTACCTCTTAAAACTGCTCTTACTCTTCAGAAATAATTGATACTAAGGCAGTTATTATTTTGACAGGTGTTTAATAGTTTGTTAATTTATTTGAGCATAGGTCCCGTGGTAAAGGTGTCGCCAGCAGCTGCAGAAGGTCCCTGTGACACCATGCCCCTGAGGGTTGTGTCCTGGCAGATGTGATTGCAAAACTGATGCAGAGAGGTGTCTGTAGCCCTGAAATTCCCTGATCTTACATAGCTGGTCGGCATGGGGAGAGCATGTGGTGAATACAACATGTGTTTGATTTCCAGGGTAGTGATCCTCTGGAGCAGTAGTTGGCAGCTCCAGTTACGATGTAATTGCTATTTTTTTCTCCCTACCGAAGATAGGAGTCAACCCAACTAGTGTTGATCTCGTGATTATTGGCAAGGATGAAGAGGTGAAAATGAAGCCAGGCCAAGTTCTACATATTGTGAATAAACTCTACCCCTACACGGTGCAATTTGATGAAGAGTCAGGGAAAACTGTTACAGAAGTGGAAGAGAAAATAAAAACCGGCAAGACGCCACGCGAGGACTCCTGTGAGAATGATGACGTAGAGCTCATGCCCAGAAAAACAATGAAGATGGATGTGGTGGATACACAAGGCAGTTCTGCAAACCCCAAGCTAAGCAATACCAGCGTACCTCCACGTGAAGGGACGTCGGGTAAAAAGGCAAGTATTGGTGTTAGGTTTTGTGCTGATTCTCCTTCACGAGGGTTTTGGTCTTTTGCAGTTGTGGTTACTAGCGATGGGGAAACATTTCAGGTGAACACAGATCCTCAGAGTACTCAAAGCACGTGAGCTGACATGCGCTCAGGACCTAAGAAAGTTCCTTGGGATCCATTCCAGCCTGAGCTGAGGGTGGGCATGAGGGTTTTACTTCAGTCTGGTTCCTGCTGCAGTGTCGGCAATCCACATGAGTTCGGTTTAGCTGGAGTCACACAAGGATACTGTGCTGGCTCTTGAGATGAAATCTGCTGTATTACAAATAGAGTAGTGGCTGTCTAAAAGCTTACACGCAGAGAATGGAACAACTTGACCCTCTTCTGTTTTGTAATTGCCTTTTTTTTTAATTGCTTCTCTTCTCCTCTCTCTGCTTTGGTCATTCCTTATGGTAGAACCATGGTTACATTAATGAGTGTTACCAGCCAAAAGCTTTTGAAAAAGAGTTTTTATCCCTGCTAAAAATGAGAGGTTTTGCCCTGGACAAAACGAAAGACTGCTCAATGCCATAATGCATCTGGAACTGTAACAGCGCAGTTGCTGGAGGAGAAGGCACAGAAATTAAACTCCTCTGGACAAAATTTCAGTCCCAGGTTGTGGTGGGCTGACTGCTTGTTTTGTTTGTGAACTCAGGTATGTTAGGGCTGGATTGGTGGTGATATGAGACAAGACGATTCGCACTGTTTCTTTGTCAGCACTACAATAATGGTTGAACATCCTCTCCTATACGAATGTGATGAAGGTCATAACTGATAATGCCTGTAAAGTGATCTGAACAGATGAAACATTATCTAGTTTGAAAAAAGAGCACTTGGCACCTTTTCTTAGGTGTTCAGTAACCAAGTTAAGAGATAACTGCTAATGTTGGCTTGATCTTCCTGTGCCTTCCTTGTTTTCTGTACAAGCCACTCCTTGCATAATAACAAAAAATAAATACACCCAAGAGTAGGGCCACACACCACAGCCATTTCTTTCTTCTGAGCAGAGCAGCGTGTGATGGGACAGTTAATGGAGCTCCTGGTTCTTCTTTTGGGCCTTGTGGTCCATAAAGCAGGGGGTCTCTTGCTAGAATAATCTGTCATCAATAGTAATCAAGGACTGTGCCATAACATGTGTGTGCAAATTAATAAATTCAAACAGATCTAGAGCTCACTGTTGTTAAATTTCCAACATTTGAAAGACTTGCCTTTGAATTTTAACAGTGTCTTGTTAAAATTTTCCAAAAGTAGCTTTATGGGGGCCATTTGGAGCAGATGTGTTGACATTTATAGAAATTAAATAATTGAGCTGTCATTCAGCTATTATTTTACTGTTGTATCCTAATGAAAGTACTTAACAGAATGCTTTAAAACATGTAATTTTATTCTTAATTATCTTATAAATTATTTTTTTATTTTGTGCTGTAGGAGCATTTAGGACACTGGAGTCAGGGTCTAAAGAGCTCCATGCAAGATCCAAAAATGCAGGTGAGAGCTGACACTTGTACTTGACAGTAGTCCCTGTGTAACAAAGTTTTTTCTTCCTCCTGCAGTTTACTTTAATGATCTGATCACCCAGTGGAGTACTGCATAAGGGATAAATTGTACCTGTATCTAGCTCTGTGGTAGTGCTAGTTTGGGAGTCTCTACTGTACTGATTTTGCAGAATGTCGTTATCTTAGTTGTCTTTGAGCTCTCTACGCTGTCAAACATGGCCGACAGTTTTCAAAAATGTTGTTGGGGAGCCAGTGAGCAGTGTAGTTGCTTTAATTCCTCAGTGAAACCAGCTGAAATGGAGATGTGGTTTCCAGCTGAACAAGCAGTGGAGATTCCTGTTTTCAGGTGGTCAGCACTGCCTTTTTTTCCAAACATGGTGCAGTTTCCTGGTTTCCAGCAACCTCTTAACTGCAGCACCTCTGTGCCAGCTGACAGGATGTGACCCTTGCCTCCTCCTCCACCTGGTGTCTTTCTGCTGGCAGGAATGTCCTGGATGGTTCCTTTTGACCTACAGGTGTTCCAGGGGCACCTCCCTCCCTTTGCTTCCCTGTGGCTGTGTAGTAGTTTTACCTGAGCCCTTTTTTTTTTTGTTCTCCCCTGCTTTTGGGGAGGTCAGACTCAAGGTGCGGAAATCTGACAAATGTCTTTTGTGGCTGCAGTGTATACACACTTTCTCACTATTGTATTCTGAGAGAGCCCTAAAGAATCTTCCCAGCTGTGTATAGAACCTATTTCCATTTTATTTTTATGTTATGGCAAATATATAGAAACTACTTCTCAGAAACAAGGAAAACAAACACCCCTAAAGAATGCTTTCCACCAGTATTCCACTCTCTGGCAGAGTGAGGCCTGAAGCTTGGGTCCATTTAGCTTGGGCTGTGGCTGGCTGACTGCTGAACGGCCATCTTATCATTAGGGTTGTGTTTTTCCCTCAGCAAGAGTATGTGTTCAGGATTGTGTGGGCTGAAACAGGCAGGATGCAGGAACAACCACAGACCGCAGCTGAAACGCAAGGAGTAGATTTGTTCTCTCCACCTGAGAATCTGAAGAATCCTTGCAGCAGCCCCTGGGTGAGGCACACGGGCACCGATCACAGGAGCAGCTCAGCAAGCAGCAGCACAGGCACAAGGAGACCTCCTTGCTGGAAAGCCTGTGGTGTGCATCCCACGGCTTTGTTATGTTTTCCTTGCTGCTCGGCCTCAGGATCCAGTGTAATTGGTGTTCTCCGACAGCTCAGGTGCCAGTCGCTTAAGCCTACCTACAGTCCTCCTCGCCCATCCTCCATTACATCCCTGCAAGGGTGGATAGTGCAGACATCTCTGATACTCAGTTCTTGAAATCACTGAATAATTCCAGTTGGAAGTGACCTTTGGAGGTCACACACTCTGAACACTTGCACTCGGTGTAATTGTCCCAGCCTTTGTCCACTGGAGTTGAGGTAATCTCCAAGGGTGAAGATCCTGCTGCCTCACTGGGCCCCTTCAGGTGATGATCACCCTCAGGCTGAAAAAATAATTCTCTCCATAACTAATCAGAAGGTCCCTGTTTCTTGATGGATTTTTTTTTGTTGTTGTTCGAGTTTAAAGTGTTGAACTGTGTAAAGTTGTAGAACTGGATGTCATCCTCCTGGAAATCCCAGCAGTTTCAAACGAGCCTTTCTGTGGGGAATGATAAAGCTATTGAAATACTTGTTTACTTTTTTAACATGAAGCGTAGTCTTCATCCCTTAAATGGAATTTCATATAGGACTTAATACAACACTGCTTTCTTGACCCAAAAAGAAGCTGAGCTTAAAACTGTTCTTTGAACGTTAGAACACAAGTAACTGTTCATGACTTAGCATTAGCTTTATTAGTTGTGGTTCTGAACTAAATACACAAAAACAGTGGAACTCCTATCTTTGCTTTTTAATAAATATTAAATAAATGACAATATTTCTTCCTTCTGTAAACTCTTTTTCACAGTCCTGCTCCCACTGGCTGTAAATGTAGATGCTAATGTACACATGCTTTGTATACAATACAAAAACATGACAGCATCGGCCAGTCTTGCTGCTGAAAGAATCAGTCCTATGATTTATGTGCTGATAAAATTTTAATCTTCCTTGCTGTACAGCAAGAGTGATCATCTCTGTATACAAACAGATGAGAATAATCAGCAGAGATGACAAAAACATCATTCACCTTCCACCAACAGAGGTGCTGCTATGTGATCAGAGACACAGTACACAGTTCCTGCTCCAGAACAAGACAGATTTTTATTGCCAGGGGCAGGTTGTCCCCCTTTCTTGTCCACATGCTTTGCTTTGCTGCTGTTTCTTTTCATGAGCTGCATCAAATTGTTGCAGGAATCCAAGATGAAAGTGGGAAGAATGGCATAATAGACAGGAATCTGTTCTCCTTTTTTGTGAGTGATCTTATAAAGTAGCATGAACTGAAATAGCTGGGACTTGAATGTTTTTGTAACACTGGCGGAAATCTGCAGTGCCGAGCAGCACCTCTGAGACTTGTGTTTCACTCCAGAAATCTGCAGAGGGTGAGGCAGCCCAGGGCATTCCT